GCTCAAGCACAGTTAGGTGAGTGTCCAGTTCTACAAATTTCAACCCTTTTCGCCATTCATTCAGCAACATTCACCAAGAACCAACCCTCCCCCCCCCACCCCACGTCCAGCAACATTCACCAAGAACCAACCCTCCCCCCCACCCCCCCACGTCCAGCAACATTCACCAAGAACCAACCCTCCCCCCCCCCCCCCCACCCCACGTCCAGCAACATTCACCAAGAACCAACCCTCCCCCCACCCCACGTCCAGCAACATTCACCAAGAAACCAACCCTCCCCCCACCCCACGTCCAGCAACATTCACCAATAACCAACCCTTCCCCCACCCCACGTCCAGCAACATTCACCAAGAACCAACCCTCCCCCCACCCCACGTCCAGCAACATTCACCAAGAACCAACCCCCCCCCCCACCCCACGTCCAGCAACATTCACCAAGAACCAACCCTCCCCCCCCCCCCACCCCACGTCCAGCAACATTCACCAAGAACCAACCCCTCCCCCCCACCCCACGTCCAGCAACATTCACCAAGAACCAACCCTCCCCCCACCCCACGTTCAGCAACATTCACCAAGAACCAACCCTCCCCCCCCCCCCACCCACGTCCAGCACAACCCGTTCTTGCACTTGCTTAAAGTCAATATTGGCTTATTTAATAAGTGCATATGTGACATACTAATTTATTGTGAATATTTTAGTTTACCTTGAAAAGCTTCATAGAAAACATCGACCTCACCTAACCTTCTTAGTAGGCTAAGATAAGCATCTTATTGCTTCTTAATTACAATTATTACTTAACCTATCAACGGTATAGGTTGCACCACCACCGACCTCTTAATGCCGTAGATGAAGCTGATCCCCAGACACTCGAAGAGGCCGATGATGAGGAGCGGAATATTGCCGGCGAAGGAGTCGAAGAGCTGGAAGACATAGTTGCCGGCGCCGTGGGTGAAGATGAGGGAGATGAGGAAGCACAACGCGCACACCACACCTGCGGCAGGTAGTTGTGTTAGGCATCGCCTGCTCATCCTGGGAGTGATGGTGCCAAAGGTTACACAGGGGGGCATAATGGGCTCAACAACTGATACCTTTGCTCACCTGCAGGAGGTGGCAACCCTCTCGCAAGCCAAGGTGGGACCGCGTCGTCGTTTCATTATATATTTATATCATCACTAATTCATTTTCATATCATTGTACATTATGTAGCTTTATTTTGTACGAGAAAGGCAATGAGTATTAATAATTATCTAGAACAGACGGGAACATTATATTCAGCAGGCACCAGTATTTATGTTGCTTATTTTTGTCATGACCTTAGAACTAAGGGTCACACTTCGCCAAACTGCCATCACAAGCTTTCGAGACCCAGTGTACACTGTACCTATTTTAACACTGATATGAGGCAACGTTCAGTCTCCCACGACTCTTAATTACGGTCACGAACCTCAGCATATGTATAACCTTAGGGACTCACCTGAGTGTGTCTCTCCGGAGCTGGCGCAGGGCCTTAGGGACTCACCTGAGTGTGTCTCTCCGGAGCTGGTGCAGGACCTTAGGGACTCACCTGAGTGTGTCTCTCCGGAGCTGGTGCAGGACCTTAGGGACTCACCTAAAGTGTAAGCTGGTGCAGGACCTTAGGGACTCACCTAAGTCTCTCTCTCCGTAGCTGGCACCTCAGGGACTCACCTGAGAGTACCTCCTTCCGTAACTGGGGAAAGACCTTGAGGTCGATGAGCGAGGAGATGACGCCCTCGAGGGTGCCGAACTGGGAGTCAGCGCCCAGGGTGAAGAGCATCAGGAAGAAAAGGACGGCCCAGAGCGGCGGGAAGGGAAACTGGTTGATGGCTTCCGTGAAGATAATGAAGGCAAGACCCGTGCCCGCGGCCGACTGCGGTGAGGTAGAAGGGAGGTAGTGAGAGATCCTGGTGGGGAACTAGTCACGGATGACAGTTGACGGGGCGGCATCTACTCTTCAACAGTCAAGAGTATAGTCATGTATTACCCCGTCATGATCACGAGGAATACAGCCACGGTCATACGGTCCTGCTTCTGCGTTGGCATTATTATTTACCGAAATAATTGATAGATACAATGACAATAGAAGATTAGACATTAATGAGGCGCTTCATACCAAGAAATCTAGACCAGCAATCAACAACCAGCTAATTCACATTTACACTCTACCCACTTCAAGACCCCGGGCCAAGGCAGAAGCAGGACCAGGACTCTGCCACAGGAACGGAAGTAACCAGAAGAACAAATCTATCAACATGTTACACTATGTTAATATATTTAATAGCTTATCAGTATCCCCCATGTAATGCCATTCATCCATATGTTACCTAACCACCTCACCATAAGAGGATATAACCTTGTGCTTAGCACAGTAGAATTTGTCTTTGAGAATGTGAGGAGTGTATTGACTCAGTTATGATGAAAGATATTGACTAATTCAGATTCTGTAGCCTTAGAGGTTACAAATACAGTATTTAACATTCATAATAACAGCAAATACTGTTAATGATGCAGTGTTTGATGTAGCTGGGTATATACCCTTGGGCATGTCTGCCTTCGTCTGTATACCCTGACACATCAATCCCCTGAACCACACAGTTGAGTGGGGTTGGTACTACCACCACCACCACACACTAGGTGAGAGGCAGTTGTTTACATATAATACTTCACGAGGAATGGGGAAGATATCTGACCTTCTGGAGCTCTTGCTGGATGTCACACACGGGGAGGCTGATGTTGCGCTTGGCCAGCAGGTCAGACACGTCGCCGCCAGGGGCCTCCATCCGCAGTAGTTCCACGGTGGAGGCCGTCTCCGCCAGGCAGCGGTCGTGGGTCTCATGCGCCTTGAACCCTGTAACCACAAAACTGATCACGCCTCGCCAGGGTAGGTGAAGCTTGCTTCGCCAGGGGTACGTGAAGCTTGTAAACACCATTTTAAGTTTCGATCTTATCCAGGAAGGTTAACCACGCCCGTACTTTGATCATTTGATTACAATAGATTTATATTCTCATGTGTCTAAACATTTGATTGATTTTTATATTTAATTTATTCGAAGGTAAATTAGACAGTGGGCCTGGTGCTGGTCTGGTGTTTGGCCTATCAAGGGTTAATAAAGACCGTCGCAATTAATAATTTAATATATTAACCCGCTAGCAAGTAAACTATATATACAAAATCACAGTGATACAGTATATCACTTGGGGGACTCTGTAGTACAATCTGGTTCGTTATTGTCTCGCAATCTAGAATTATGGGTTCAGATCCCGTGCGGAACAACAATGGTTGGGCACATTTCCTATCACCTAATGCAGCTGTTCACCCAGCAGCAGGTTGATACCCCGTGCAGAACAACAGTGGTTGGGCACATTTCCTATCACCTAATGCAGCTGTTCACCCAGCAGGAGGTTGGTACCCCATGAGTTAGTCAGCTTATTGTGTGGTTGCAGCCTGGTGGGAGGTGTGCAATACTACCTCAGGGGGAGGAAGGGAGGGGGAGAATGATATAAGTCTACCATGTATCAATACACTCTGGCTTCCTGTCCCCCGACACAGTGAATTAATGAATATAGGCATGGAATCGACTTGAGAATGGTCCAGGACGGACCGAAACGTCGTCGTCCCTTCACCTTCTAGTGTGTGGTCTGGTCAACATACTTTAGCCCCGTTATTGTGACTCATCGCCTGCACCTGAATATAGGCATGGAACGAGTTTGGATTTTTCTTGATATTTTGGGGAAGTTTTCTTTCGTAGTCTTTTTTTGAGATATAAACAAGAGTTGTTACTTGAGATATATACAAGAGTTGTTACTTGAGATATATACAAGAGTTGTTACTTGAGATATATACAAGAGTTGTTACTTGAGATATATACAAGAGTTGTTACTTGAGATATATACAAGAGTTGTTACTTGAGATATATACAAGAGTTGTTACTTGAGATATATACAAGAGTTGTTACTTGAGATATATACAAGAGTTGTTACTTGAGATATATACAAGAGTTATTACTTGAGATATATGCAAGAGTTGTTACTTGAGATATATACAAGAGTTGTTACTTGAGATATATACAAGAGTTGTTACTTGAGATATATGCAAGAGTTGTTACTTGAGATATATACAAGAGTTATTACTTGAGATATATGCAAGAGTTGTTACATTCTTGTAGAGCCGCTAGTACGCGTAGCGTTTCGGGCAGGTCCCTGGAATACGATCCCCGCCGCGAAGAATCGTTGTTACAACCAAGTACACATTTTACTGTTCAGTTAAACAGAGGCTACAGTTAAGGGAATTGCGCCCAGTAAATCCTCCCCGGCCAGGATACGAACCCATGACAAAGCGCTCGCGGAACGCCAGGCGAGTGTCTTACCACTACACCACGGAGACTAAACTGATATGATTTCCACAGAGACTTTTTTGGCTGATATGATTTCCTGGGTGGCTGAGTTTAGTGCCATTTTATAGCTCACAATCAATGATCCATCTTGGATTTATAACTTCTGCAGAGGTTCGACTTGGTTATCAACGCTCGGTTTACTACCTGTGTTATCCATCTAGTTCCCTTTCTTTTCTTTCTCATATTTTTAAACGAGTTTCATAATTTTAATCTCTGTGGTGTAGTGGTAAGACACTCGCCTGGCGTTCCGCGAACACTTTGTCATGGGTTCGTATCCTGGCCGGGGAGGATTTACTGGGCGCAAATCCTTAACTGTAGCCTCTGTTTAACTCAACAGTAAAATGTGTACTTGGTTGTAACAACGATTCTTCGCGGCGGGGATCGTATTCCAGGGACCTGCCCGAAACGCTACGCGTACTAGTGGCTGTACAAGAATGTAACAACTCTTGTATATATTTCTCTCAAAAAAAATAATAGTTCCCCCATTAGATAGGTTCCCGCGAATGTTACATATACATTCTTGTACAGCCACTAGTACGCGTAGCGTTTCGGGCAAGTCCTTAATCCTATGGTCCCTGGAATACGATCCCCTGCCGCGAAGAATCGTTTTTTCATCCAAGTACACATTTTACTGTTGCGTTAAACAGAGGCTACAGTTAAGGAATTGCGCCCATTAAATCCTCCCCGGCCAGGATACGAACCCATGACATAGCGCTCGCGGAACGCCAGGCGAGTGTCTTACCACTACACCACGGAGACTGCCAACGGAGAATGTATGTAAACAAACTCTGGCTGCCTGTCCCTAAACAAAATGAATTATTAATGTATTAACTTTGTTTCTTAGTTAAATATATTTTGTAATGTGTTTCCTAACATATTGTATTTTGACGCGTACATTGTGATTGAAGAGATTATTTCATATTTATGTAAGTTTCTCATTAATTTCTCACCCTTTTATGTTATTTTATCCCGTTTTCTTTAATGTTCGCACGACCCATATAACATTAACTATTGTACTTTAATTAAATTATGTTTTAAGTTTTTTTTTTTTTTTTTTTTTTTTTTTGTTTTTTTTTTTTGAGATATATACAAGAGTTGTTACATTCTTGTACAGCCACTAGTACGCGTAGCGTTTCGGGCAAGTCCTTAATCCTACGGTCCCTGGAATACGATTCCCTGCCGCGAAGAATCGTTTTTTCATCCAAGTACACATTTTACTGTTGCGTTAAACAGAGGCTACAGTTAAGGAATTGCGCCCAGTAAATCCTCCCCGGCCAGGATACGAACCCATGACATAGCGCTCGCGGAACGCCAGGCGAGTGTCTTACCACTACACCACGGAGACTGCTAAGTTGATTATTCATTTTCATAGCCAACGAACACGAATGATTTTGCCCGAGTCCATTGTGTGACAGTATATATAAATGACTTCCAGTACATTTAATATACATAGACGTCGCTAAAGCTTTTGAAAGGGTACCGCATGAAAATTAAAAAAAGAATAGGCGTACAAAAGAAAAAGCATCTGTTTTCTGCAGGCGATGAGTCACAATAACGTGGCAAAATTATGTTGACCTGGACCATTCTCAAGTCGATTGGACAATCGACTTGAGAATGGTCCAGGACGGACCGAAACGTCGTCGTCCCTTCACCTTCTAGTGTGTGGTCTGGTCAACATCCTGTTTTCTGTCTTGCATTGTGACTTGTTGAGCTGGGAACCATTGCTCCTTGTTCGTGTTACATCTGACCTTTAGAAGAAGTGGTCTGAATCAACATCCTCCAAATTGTTCAATATAGGAAAAGTTTCAATGAGATCCGCCGTGTCATGTCTGGCTTGCAGTGTTGTTAGTCCCGTGGGCCCTCAACCGGTCCTCGTATTAGAGCCGACTTAGTTCTGGATAAATGGAAGAGAGTGAGCGGGAGGGAAGAAAGAGGGGATATAAGGAGAGGGAAAGAGAAAAGGAGGGAAGGAGAGACAGGGATGGGGGGGGGAGACAGACTATCTTGGGCACCTCCGGAGATCCCTCCTAGTGTGGGATGGATATATATATATATATATATATATATATATATATATATATATATATATATATATATATATATATATTATATATATTATATATATATTATATATATATATATATATATATATATATATTATATATTATATATATATATATATTTTTTTTTTTTTTCCGTGGTGTAGAGCTCAGGTCTTAACATTTCGTCTCTGTTGTGCTATGTAATCATAGTGGCTTAGCACTCTCTTCTCCATATTATTTCCCTTCTTTCTGTCCTCCTTATCAGATCTCTGGAGAGCCTTGTGTGTCTCCACATTATTGTTTCCCTCCTTCCTCCTTCCCAGCGTTGTGAGGCTCTTTTTTGTAATGTCTCCAGCTTGTCTCTATTCTTCTTAAAACGAGCGGTCCATGCCTAGGCTACATATTCCTGTATTGGTCTCCTGTGTACTATACGTATGTGTGTGTGTGTGTGTGTGTGTGTGTGTGTGTGTGTGTGTGTGTATTCACCTAGTTGTGTTTGCGGGGGTTGAGCTTTGCTCTTTCGGCCCGCCTCTCAACTGTCAATCAACTGTGTGTGTGTGTGTGTGTGTGTGTGTGTGTGTGTGTGTGTGTGTGTGTGTGTGTGTATATGTGTGTGTGTGTGTGTGTGTGTGTGTGTGTGTGTGTGTGTGTGTGTGTGTGTGTGTGTGTGTGTGTGTGTGTGTGTGTATCTACTATTTGTGTCTACAGAATGGAACTATTAGCTCTAGGACCCCGCCTTTCAAACTAATCTACTTTTCCTCTATTATGTCCTGTACATATATGTCTCTCTAACACACACACGCACATCCCCAGAAAGCAGCTCGTAGCAGCTGTCTAACTACCAGGTACCTATTTACTGCTAGGTGAACAGGTGGATCAGTGTGGTAGAAACTTTGCCTATTTGTTTCTACCAAGGCCCGGAATCGAACCCGGGCCCTTTGGACAACGATCCCTGAGCGCTGTCTACTCAGTCGCGAGGCCCCCCTCGTGTGTATGCGGCAGTAGATTCATTTGTATAATGGTTCAAAGGGATAAAATCTGGAGAGTAATATGCCAGAAAGGTGACCTTTGGTATGATTGGCAGGGAGGTGTGAGCCTTACCGAGGATTGCGAAGACCACTACGCCAGCGAGCATAGAGGTGAAGCAGTTGGTGATGGAGACGAGGACGGCGTCCCTCAGGCAGTTGTTGTTGACAGGGTTGTAGGAGCCGAAGGCAATCAGGCCGCCAAAGGCCAGACCCAGGGAGAAGAAGATCTGGGTGCCGGCCTCCAGCCACACAACCGGGTCTTGCAGCTTCTCCCACTGTTAGAAGAGCAAGGGGAGGGGGTGCTATTGTAGTGGATGGAGTTTGTGTGTAGGCGGGAAGCGAGAACGTGTTCATATAGGCACAAGAGGGGGGTACTTAAGACTAGCTGGGAGGTGGGTGAGGAAGAGCGAAGCTAAGAAGATGGCGCCGTACCCTGGGTGTGAAGAGATGGGAGATGCCGTCAGACATGCCCCGGAGGGTGACGCCGCGGCAGAAGAAGGCCATCAACACCACGTACGGGAACACGGCCGTCACGTACACCACCTGAGGGACGGGACATGGTCAGCCACTTCCAGCGTCTACACTTTACACGGACGGGTAGTGTTTGACGACACGGAGTGTATATTTATGTCTCCATGAAAACCTCTTCCATCCCTCTGTGCCCTCAACGTTAAAACGCATTTGTAAATGTTTTGTCAACTAACATTATCAAGCATATATGTATTATTTTCACTCATCTTTTCGAAAGTGTGACCAAGACTGGAGTCACACGAGAGAAGCGTGAGAAACACTTACATAAATAAGGGGACACTACCTCCACGGGCACGTTTGACCTGACCTGACCCAGCACCGAGGGCTAGGACAGAGGAGACGCAGCCATCTGTCTAGGATCAACCTCGTTGGATAAAACAGCGCTTCTTCCTAACCTTTCCTGAAGCGACGATTCCCTTCATGATGCAGATGTAGATGAGGAGCCAGGCGATGGCCATGCAGCCGGCGATCTTCCAGTTGAAGTCACCGATCTGGGACAAGTCGTCGGTGATGTCAAGGGTGTCACGGTACCAGAAGTACTGTGTGGGGCCGGCTCTCTCGCACTCTTGGGCCAGGCTCGACTCGTTGCTTTCCACGACGCCGATAGCGTGTGGGCAGTCCGACCATGGCAGCGGCGACTGGAAGCTCTGGGGACGCGGGGAGTCAGTATCTTGTGGTCGTGTGACAAGAGGGTGTGGGTGTACGAGTCCACTCTGGCTTTTATGGGTGGAATTAGGGTTCGTGAGAGTGTAACTGTGGCTGACATGGGTGGGAGATGAATGCGTGTGGTTGGAATTCAGGTTTCTTTAGTTTAGGATGTGGGTTGCTGTTAGTAAGAGACGGGTTCGTGTGACTTGTACTAATGGGATAAAGGTGCACAGCATGGATGGCCTCTGGATTTGTGTGGAAGGGAGTTAATTTCACATGGGTGGGACATAATATTCATGTGGGTGATACAATCTATGAACCTAAGCTTTTTGGCGCTTTTTGTTTTAGTTGAAGGATCGTCTCTAAAGTGTCTATTGACGCAGGGTGTTGGGAATTGAGAAGATGGACCCTTGACATATTCATCATCTGCTATACATGCCCAAGAGAACAGCCGCCATGTTGACAACCCGTGGAGTCTGTTAGGCCGGGCAGTGTATGGGGAATGTTTATCTGTCTTTCCTATCATTTGTCTAGTATATAGATTGATTGATTGATGAAGATTAAGCCACCCAAAAGGTGGCACGGGCATGAATAGCCCGTAACTGGAATATAGTGGTCATGTTTACTGTATATTCATTGGTATAGCTGTTTGTGCTGGTGTGGTGAAGGCGAACTTGCCTGAGGCTGGCCCCTTGAGCCTACAGCTTGTGGTTTGCTCAGGAAACCTTACAAAATAACAAAGAAAAACTGTTTAATATTCAATACACGTTTTGAATAAGATTAATTTATGTATAACTTTCTGTATATTTGTTTATTGATTCGTTTCTCCTCCCATGTTAACTTGCATGTGGCTGTCTAACCTCGCCCATATACTTAGTTAATAATATGACAGTACTAAGGCCTCACTTCTGCTTGTAGCGAGGGAGACAATCGTACCGAGGAACACATAACAACAGGTTCATTCATAACACATAACAACAGGTTCATTCATAACACATTACAACAGGTTCATTCATAACACATTACAACAGGTTCATTCATAATACATTACAACAGGTTCATTCAGAAGACATAACAATGATCATTCACACACACAGGTCCACTTACACACAGGAGCCAGGAGACCGAAAAGTCAATACACGATGAAGGTAAACTACCTCTCTATAACGACTAGAGGAAAGGATCTGGGAGTGGACATAACGCCGGACCTAACTCCAGAGGCTCATATAAATAGAATAACATCAGCCACGTACTCTTCTCTGGCAAAAGTCAGAACATCCTTCAGAAACTTGAATAAGGAGGCTTTAAGATCATTATATACCTCCTATGTGAGGCCAGTCTTAGACTATGTCGCCCCATCTTGGAACACCAATCTTAAAAACACATAAGGAAGCTCGAAAAGGTGCAACAGTTTGTAACGAGACTTGTCCCAGAGCTGCGAGGGGCGAGGTACGAAGACCGACTGAAGGAACTAAACCTGACGACGTTAAAAAGGAGGAGGGAGAGGTGGGGGGACATAATTCAGATGTATAAAATACTTAGATGGATTGACAAAGTGGAAACAGAGGATATATTTACAGTGAATAGCAACAGAACAAGGGGGCACGGATGAAAGCCTTAGAGATGTGTCAAGAGATGTTAGAAAGTTTTCTTTTACCGTAAAGGGTAGTGAGTAAGTGGAGTGACTTAAAGGAACAGGTTTATGATAGGGCAATAGGCCAGGAGTGATTGCATTAGACAACCAACGGCTAGAAAAGCAGGGTCTAAGAGCTAGAGCTCGATCCTGCAGGAGGAACTAGGTGAGTACACACCATTACACACACACACACTGACCTGGAAGAGGTAGTAGAGGCACCAGGCGATGACGGTGTTGTAGTAGAGGGCGACGGCGAAGGAGACGACGGCGGAGGCGATGCCGACTCCCCCCAGGAAGGGGGAGACCTGGTGCCAGGCCCCCAGGGCACCCTTGCGGATCCGCTGCCCCACCGCCAGCTCCAGGTAGAAGAGCGGCAGCCCCAGGAACGTCAGCATCACGAAGTACGGGATCAAGAATGCCCCTTTAAAGAGGAGACCCGTGGGTGTAAGGTGTGGGTATTGAGATTGGGTCAAGAAGGAGAGTATTCTCAGTCTCCGTCTGTCTGTCTGTCTGTCTGTCTGTCTGTCTGTCTGTCTGTCTGTCTGTCTGTCTGTCTGTCTGTCTGTCTCTCTCTCTCTCTCTCTCTCTCTCTCTCTCTCTCTCTCTCTCTCTCTCTCTCTCTCTCTCTCTCTCTCTCTCTCTTTCTCTCTCTCTCTCAAACACATTTCTTAATTTTATTTCAGACTGAAAAATCGTAGGGTTCTCAATAGATGCCGATATTTCTTTAAGTGTGGCACTGGGGCCGACCCCAACCCGCCTTTAGCACACGAATACCCAACATGAATCATGTTGCAAAGTTGGGTGAGGCTAGCGCCAATGCGTCTTGTCGCCAACATGGACAGATATTCTCTTTTGTAGATATAGATTATATTTAATTAATGTTATTTATCTTTGAGATTAATGTGGGTATTGATTTTATGCTTTCATTCAAGCTATTTAATATTTATGTTGCATTTTATTATGTGTATCTTAATGTCAGTAAATTGTAGTCATTTCTTTTCTTATTTTTTTCGGCTAGGGGAGCAACATGTCTTCCCCTTTTGTATAGTATATAACAATTTTAATTATTATTATTATTTTAATTATTAAATAATTAATTATTTTAATTATTAAGTAATAATAATTAATTATTATTACAATATTTAATTATTATTTTAATTATTATTAATTATTATATTTAATTATTATTAATTATTATATTTAATTATTAATTATTAATTTTAATTATTATTAATATAATTATTATATTTAGCCTATTAATATAAACAATTTTGGTATAAATTAATATTGTTCAATCTGGTACTTGAAATTTGTGTAAACTAAGTCACTTATAAATACAAATCCATTTGTTTAAATACAGTTTTATAATTTGAATATGTGTAATACACTTTTTTTGTACATTTATGACTTAAGATTTACAATTACGATTTGGTATGCCTGACCTCCTCCGTTCTTCTGTGCGAGGTAGGGGAACCTCCAGACGTTGCCCAGGCCGACGGCGTATCCCACAGTGGCCAGCAGGAACTGTAGCTTGCTGTCCCACGACTCCCTCTCCTCTCCCTCGCACAACACCGCCGCCAGCGCCTCCTTCGTCGTCTCATGCGGTACCTGCAGATGAGAGAGGTCACGTCGAGCGAGTGAAGGCTAATGTCTCCCTGACTATGCAGGCGATGAGGGCACAATAACGTGGCTAAGGTATGTTGACCCGACCACACACTTGAAGGTGAAAGGACGACGACGTTTCGGTCCGTCCTGGACCATTCTCAAGTCGATTGTGAGAATTCGAATGGTCCAGGGCGGACCGAAACGTCGTCGTCCCTTCACCTTCTAGTGCGTAGTCTGGTCTCCCTGACTAGCTGTTTATTGTGTAGCCATTATAGCCATTATTGTGCCATTATAGCCATTATTGTGTAGCTACGTTGTGTCGTGAGCTAGACCTTTGACGGCAGAAAGACGGTCTCCGGTTATCAATCAAGTTACGGGCTCACCATAGCCCGTGCTACATGGAACTTTGTTCCAGGTAGCGAATCTTTAACAACAACAACAACGTCTCCGATAGTTAAAGGGCGGCGTGCAGGATAAACATATCAATTGTGACATTAGCTCTCCACATATGTCAGTTGCTTAGTTTAGAACTGTACTTGTGGTCGATCTCGAACCCATTGATGATGTGACGACTTATACTGAGTTTTGTAACTAGCTCATCAAGACTGTAACTTGTTTAGCTGCATGAATTATGGGGTTCAGTCCCTGAGCCCATTATGTGCCTCTGTAACCCTTTCCACTACCACCCACACGATGGGTATGGGGTGCATAATAAATGAACTAAACTGTGATTAACTGCAGCGTAAAATATTAAGAACACTCTGAGTATATAAGGTATATAGAAATATAGAAATATACTATATAGTATATATATATTTTGATAGTATATAGGGGTAGGCTGCTCTACCACCCTCAGTATCATTACTATTGTCATCATTAGTAGTAGTAATGTTATCAGGAACAGCAGTAGTAATATGAGTTCCCTGTTCCAGGAAGCTGTGTTGGAGAGCAAGGAACAGTGCAAGGATTTACCGGCTTCCACAGGTAAGCCCGGCCATGTTGCGTGCTCCTGTTGTGTCAGCTTATGGTGTTGTGGGCTCTGTTGTTGTCACTATACAACCACAACCTCCACAACCACAACCTCCACAACCCCAACCTCCACAACCCCAACCTCCACAACCCCAACCTCCACAACCTCCACAACCACAACCTCCACAATCACAACCTCCACAACCACAACCTCCACAACCACAACCTCCACAACCCCAACCTCCACAACCCCAACCTCCACAACCTCCACAACCACAACCTCCACAATCACAACCTCCACAACCACAACCTCCACAACCACAACCTCCACAACCACAACCTCCACAACCCCAACCTCCACAACCCCAACCTCCACAACCTCCACAACCACAACCTCCACAACCTCCACAACCACAACCTCCACAACCACAACCTCCACAACCTCCACAACCACAACCTCCACAACCACAACCTCCACAACCCCAACCTCCACAACCCCAACCTCCACAACCTCCACAACCACAACCTCCACAACCACAACCTCTACAACCACAACCTCCACAACCACAACCTCCACAACCACAACCTCCACAACCACAACCTCCACAACCACAACCTCCACAACCCCAACCTCCACAACCCCAACCTCCACAACCTCCACAACCACAACCTCCACAACCCCAACCTCCACAACCCCAACCTCCACAACCTCCACAACCACAACCTCCACAACCACAACCTCTACAACCACAACCTCCACAACCCCAACCTCCACAACCACAACCTCCACAACCCCAACCTCCACAACCACAACCTCCACAACCACAACCTCCACAACCCCAACCTCCACAACCACAACCTCCACAACCCCAACCTCCACAACCCCAACCTCCACAACCACAACCTCCACAACCCCAACCTCCACAACCACAACCTCCACAACCACAACCTCCACAACCACAACCTCCACAACCCCAACCTCCACAACCACAACCTCCACAACCACAACCTCCACAACCACAAGCTCCACAACCCCAACCTCCACAACCTCCACAACCACAACCTCCACAACCACAACCTCCAGTCGCTACTCCTTCCTACTTTATCAATTCAATTTTTGTAATGTATTTGCTATGAGTATTGGTATTATTATCGTTGAAGTTATTATGGGTGTTAGTATTATGGATTTTATTATGTGTCTGAATTCAGTGTGAGAGACTTGGTTCACTTGTGTAACTGCTTCGTCTGGACTATTCCCACCAATCACAGCCACGGTAATGCCAACTAAACTCTTTCTGCCAATAACAGCCAAGTTTACCCGGAATAAACCCTTCCACCAATCACAGCTATTCGCACACCGACTGCACCCTTCGAATTGGTCATTATCGTTCCTCTTGACACAGGAGAATGTATTAAGGAACTCCTCTCCCATAATATAATAAATATTTGCCCTCAGAAATAAGTTGTATATGCGAGCTCTCATAAATTTGAAGACTGATGTGACTCACAACAGTTGAGTAGCTCTCAGGTATTTACTTACTGCTAGGCGAACAGAAGCATCGGGTGTAAAGCAAATTGCCCCAACGTTTCTTCCTGTCCGGGCATCGAACCCAGGACTAAGCGATCTGACTGTGCTACCGGTCACCCACCCTCAAGCTGAAGTTCGACCGTTGTCCTGCAGTTTTGATGGACAATGTCACGTCTTCATAGGATAGGTAATTCATATTATTTTTTACTTTCGCCTTGACGTCGACTTTGAGGTATAGCAATGATAAATTAAATCTTTGAGTTGCAAAGTTTGCAATGTTCTGGTGAAGGCGGGTGACCCGCTTAAGCTAGCGGTCACAACCCACGTGTCTTGTTGCACCCGAGCTGGACTGGTGATCCTGTGGTCCTGGGTTCGATCCCAGGCGCCGGCGAGAAACAATGGGCAGAGTCTCTTTCACCCTATGCCCCTGTTACCTAGCAGTAAAATAGGTACCTGGGTGTTAGTCAGCTGTCACGGGCTGCTTCCTGGGGGTGGAGGCCTGGTCGAGGACCGGGCCGCGGGGACACTAAAAAGCCCCGAAATCATCTCAAGATACCTTATTGGGTATGCTGGCAGTGGGACTCGACCCGCCATCGTATCCATGGTTGATGTTTGTGTCTTACCTTACTGGGTATGCTGGCAGTGGGACTCGACCCGCCATCGTAGCCATGGTTGATGTTTGTGTCTTACCTTACTGGGTATGCTGGCAGTGGGACTCGACCCGCCATCGTAGCCATGGTTGATGTTTGTGTCTTACCTTACTGGGTATGCTGGCAGTGGGACTCGACCCGCCATGGTAGCCATGGTTGGTGTTTGTGTCTTACCTTACTGGGTATGCTGGCAGTGGGACTCGACCCGCCATCGTAGCCATGGTTGATGTTTGTGTCTTACCTTACTGGGTATGCTGGCAGTGGGACTCGACCCGCCATCGTAGCCATGGTTGGTGTTTGTGTCTTACCTTACTGGGTATGCTGGCAGTGGGACTCGACCCGCCATCGTAGCCATGGTTGGTGGCACCGTAGTCGGGCACCTCCTCGGCGGTAGGCACCAGACGCGCTTCCAGTTCCAGGTCGAGACGGTCGATGGACTTCTGCGCCGACAGCTCTCTGGAACTCTGGCGGCGGATCAGCTGCGTTACGTTGGCCATCTTGGGTAACTTTGGTCACAACTTGTGCTTAGCAACTTTGTAGGAATTGTTTAGTTCCTTTCTTTCGCGCGATGATTTACACTTCTACAATTATAATCTCTTTTATACTTTCTGTCTCTGTTAGGTCACCTTTTTTCCTTTCGTCACTTTTATAATTTTTTGTTTCACAATTATTGCTATACTATATTCGTCATTATTTATCATTCAGGTGCGTCCTATGCCCTCTTCAACTCCGCCAGACGCTCCATGATTAGACAAATTTCACTGCTAACAACATGACTTGTAGGGTCAGTGTCTCTTGCTCTCAGACCTCAGACTTGTAGGTGGGGGGGGGTCAGTGTCTCTGGCTCTCAGACCTCAGACTTGTAGGTGGGGGTCAGTGTCTCTTGCTCTCAGACCTCAGACTTGAAGGTGGGGGGGTCAGTGTCTCTGGCTCTCAGACCTCAGACTTGTAGGTGGGGGTCAGTGTCTCTTGCTCTCAGACCTCAGACTTGTAGGTGGGGGTCAGTGTCTCTTGCTCTCAGACCTCAGACTTGTAGGTGGGGGGGGGGGTCAGTGTCTCTGGCTCTCAGACCTCAGACTTGAAGGTGGGGGGTCAGTGTCTCTTGCTCTCAGACCTCAGACTTGTAGGTGGTGGGGGGGGGGGGGGTCAGTGTCTCTGGCTCTCAGACCTCAGACTTGTAGGTGGAGGTCAGTGTCCCTGGCTCTCAGACCTCAGACTTGTAGGTGGAGGTCAGTGTCCCTGGCTCTCAGACCTCAGACTTGTAGGTGGAGGTCAGTGTCCCTGGCTCTCAGACCTCAGACTTGTAGGTGGGGGGGGGTCAGTGTCTCTGGCTCTCAGACCTCAGACTTGTAGGTGGAGGTCAGTGTCCCTGGCTCTCAGACCTCAGACTTGTAGGTGGAGGTCAGTGTCCCTGGCTCTCAGACCTCAGACTTGTAGGTGGGGGGGGGGGGTCAGTGTCTCTGGCTCTCAGACCTCAGACTTGTAGGTGGAGGTCAGTGTCCCTGGCTCTCAGACCTCAGACTTGTAGGTGGAGGTCAGTGTCCCTGGCTCTGGGAAGATGAAAAGGGGGAGACGGTGTCATCCTGTGATTGTCTTCCTAACACCATCTGAAGGAGGAAAAAAGATAATTTTAAGAAATAGTTTATTTATATGTTGAGAATTATATTTAAGTAAATGAGAATACACATTCCAAAGGGTTTTCGACAATTACTTATACAAATTAAATGAAGTACAAGGCAGTACTTGTTCAAAATGTACAAATGTACTTGTTCAAGTACAAGTACAGGCTGAGACACACTCAGACACAAACGTACAGGCAGAGACACAGAGGCACAAGCAGACAAAGGTACAAAGCAAAGACACTAAGGTACAGACAAAGACACAACGAAAACAAAGAAATAATTTCCTTTTTCTTAAAATAGAGAAAACAACGAGTCATCCAAAACGGAGATGAATCTGACTCCACTGGCACTCTTAAAGATATATTAGCATCTGTAACGACTCTGCAATTGTCATCAAGTCTGGAATCGGAGATTTGACTTCCGTGGAGTTTTTGCAAATTTTCAGTGCTGGGTAATATTAAACTTTCTGAGAGAGAGAGAGAGAGAGAGAGAGCGAGAGAGAGAGAGAGAGAGAGAGAGAGCGAGAGAGCGAGAGAGAGAGAGAGAGAGAGAGAGAGAGAGAGAGAGAGAGAGAGAGAGAGAGAGAGAGAGAGAGAGAGAGAGAGAGAGAGAGAGAGAGAGAGAGAGAGAGAGAGAGAGAGAGAGAGAGAGAGAGAGAGAGAGAGAGAGAGAGAGAGAGAGAGAGAGAGAGAGCGAGTGGGGGGGAGAGGAGAGATCTTAGGGAAAATTGTGGAGAGAATGGGAGAGGTGAGAGAATGTGAAAATGGAAGGAAAGGGGGTGAGGGGGATGTTGGAGGAACAAAAGGGGAGATGGGACAAAAGTTGAAAGAGGTGGGGAGATTGAGAGAATAGGGGGAAGAGGGGAATTGAGAGAGAGAGGGGAAAGACAGAGGGGAGAGGGAGAGAGACGGATACCTCATGGTGTAACTTTATAAACCTGAGCGCGAGCAAGATCGACATTAACTATTCCATATATCATCACACTACTCAACAATAGTCATTAATCTATTATTCCCCCCCCCCTGACGTCTAGTATCTCCCAGGATCTTTGAAAGTTTACACCACCTGCTTCTGTAGACCTGAACACTTGTAAACTCTGTCACCAGACCAGTTCTTACTCCATGTCATTAGACCATCAATGGGTAAACTTAGAATTTAGTGTAAATCTTGCCACATAGGTTGTGTAAATATAAACAACGTCATCCATTATAACGGTTACATAAAATCTTTGCAACATTGAGTATTGTAAATAGTGCGGGACCGCAGTAGCTTGTTGCTAAGGGAGTGTCAAGCTGGAGTTTGGAACCTATTTTATACCTTAATATATATAAAGGCTAGCCCACAGGTGGTGGTGTTTCCTCAGCCACCTGCTGGGAGAGGAACTCTCTCTCCTCAGCCACCTGCTGGGAGAGGAACTCTCTCTCCTCAGCCACCTGCTGGGAGAGGAACTCTCTCTCCTCAGCCACCTGCTGGGAGAGGAACTCTCTCTCCTCAGCCACCTGCTGGGAGAGGAACTCTCTCTCCTCAGCCACCTGCTGGGAGAGGAACTCTCTCTCCTCAGCCACCTGCTGGGAGAGGAACTCTCTCTCCTCAGCCACCTGCTGGGAGAGGAACTCTCTCTCCTCAGCCACCTGCTGGGAGAGGAACTCTCTCTCCTCAGCCACCTGCTGGGAGAGGAACTCTCTCTCCTCAGCCACCTGCTGGGAGAGGAACTCTCTCTCCTCAGCCACCTGCTGGGAGAGGAACTCTCTCTCCTCAGCCACCTGCTGGGAGAGGAACTCTCTACTCAGTCACCTCCTGGGAGAGGAGCTCTCTTCTCAGCCACCTGCTGGGAGAGGAACTCTCTCTCCTCAGCCACCTGCTGGGAGAGGAACTCTCCTCAGCCACCTCCTGGGAGAGTAGCTCTCTACTCAGCCACCCCCTGGGAGAGAGGGAAGGGAGGGGAATCCTCCCTTCCCTCCTCCCTACTCCCTACTGTAGAGATCCCTCCTCCCTGGAGCTGTAGAGATCCGAGCAAGGTTTCCTCTAACGTAAGACTAGTAGGGAAAGGATATGAACAAGATGAGCAGGTGGTAATAGTCAACTTGATCCAAATTGCAGGCACGGACACATAAACAAAGGGGGGCACAAACGCTTTGACCAACTCACAGCCCCCCACCTTCCCCCACCACTCCCACACACACCGGTCCATGATTTTAAACATGTAACTATCGCTTCCAGAGATTGACGCTACACTGTTCCACTGCCGAGTGCTCTGGAAGGGCTATACGACCATCCCCCATCCACCCATTCACCCATTCACCCTCACCCCAGATTTGGGGTTATAGTTTGGGGGGGGGATAGGAGGGGGTGCGGGGAGGAGTTCGTAGGCGGCCGGAGGGTGGGAGACTGTTGGGGGGGGGAAGGGGGGGGGGACGTTCGGGGCAAAACATGGAGTGAGCCAGAATCGATAGTTTAAGGGCTGTTGGAGAGGGAGGGAGGGAGTGTTGTTGGGAAAGGGGGGTGATGACGTCAGGGGTAGCAGGAGTGACGGTGGCACTCGGGGGGATGGCGATGGTGGTGATGGTGGTGATGGTGGTGGTGATGATAGTGTCAGCGATGATGATGGAAAAGGTTGTGGTGATGGTGGAAGCTGAGGTGGTGTGACCAACCCGTCCTCTTACAGTAGTGATGGCCCTGCTAGTGATCGGTAGTGATTACTGTGGTGGTATATTTACCTATCAGTACTTGTTAGTGTCAATGGCGTAGTGAGGTCTACCTATTTATGCCCCGTCTACTGGCTTCGTTTAATTTAATAATTCTAAAGTTCAAGTTCGTTATGGAATCTGGCTAAAGTTGTGGATGGCGGCGGTATCCAAAACTAATTCTTTTAGAGCAATCCACTTGTTGACTATCCGTACAGGGTACGAGTACTGCCTTACATTCCTTCCGATCATATGTCCCGCTTGTCCTGCTTTCTTTCAAGTTGACGAGGCTATCCTTGTCCACCTTATCTATTCCCCCTCAGTATCGTGTATGTTGTGATCATATCCCCGCTTGTTTCTTCTATCCTCCAGGGTTGTGAGATTTAGTTCCATTAGCTTATCTTCGCAGCATAAACTCTGGCACCAATTTGTTGTAAACATTTTTATTTTTTTTCAGTTTTGGCATAAATTTATGCTTCACTAGGTGCAAATTCCATGCCAGTGCTGCGTATTCCAGTATTGGTCGAACATATGTTCTAATTTAGGCTTCTAAACGAAGTTCTTGTATTTACCAGGATCCCACATGCTGCCAATGTTATCCAGTTTGTGTGTGCCCCAGTGCTAATGTTGGAATTATATCCTCTCTGAAATCTTTCTTTCCGATTCCTGTAGTTGCCTTCCCCTTATGGTATAGATGGCTTCTGGTCTCCTCTCTCACTATCCCAACATTGCCGTACATTTGTTGGAATTGAATTCCAGCAACCATTTGTTTGGCCACTCTTGGAGGCTGTCAAGGTCCTGTTGTAACTTCCTGCAAATTCTCTGTTTTCACGTTGCTCATCAGCTTTGGATCATCTGCAGACATTAACATGTCCACGCTCACTCCCTCGGGCAGGTCACTCCCATAAATTAGGAACAACAGCAGTCCCAGGACAGAACCTGTTGGGACCAAATTTGTTACATTCCTCCGGTTTGAAACCTCCTCTCTGACTGTGACTCTTTGCTTTCTGTCCTTCAGGTACTCCCTAACCCAGTTCAGCATTCCCCCTCCCCAACCTGCAGTCTACCAAACCTTCTTTTTCCTGTCTTTTATTTGAGTAACTTTGTCATAAAACTCAAGTCATGCTTGTCAGGCACGACTTTTTATTTCTAAATCCATGTTATCCTTTTGTCACATAGTTGGTGCTCCTCCAGATGCTCCACCATTCTCC